ATAAGTATTATTTAATGAGAATTTTTAATTTATGAATATTAAAAAATACCTCTTACTCGTGCATCGCACGTGATTCGTACTAGTATTACAAAGAATAGAATCACATGCACAAATCACCCAAACAAACTTACATATGATACTTGAATAATTAAAATATCACAATATAAGTCTATCAAACTATTCACTTAAACTCAAGATATGAATTCTAAACTGTATATCAGTACATTAAATTAAACAAAGACAATCAATTATATAGTTTAACAACCGATCTTCATGGCATATTATTATTATTTTTTTTTTTCCGAAACGGTAGATATGAATATAACTAAACAAAATGTACAGAGTTCGGGGCTCAACTGACCCTTACATGGGAACTAAACTAACAATGAACCACGATAAGCTTACTAAAAGGACGATAGATAAGCAAATGTTCTCCACCAGATTTTAAAACAAGGGGTTTGAGGGTTGAGTGTTGTTCCAGCTGAGAGGGCCATCTTCCAAGCTGTTTGAGCTCTGTGTCAGTGGAAAAACATGTGTTCAACCGATTCATCAGCTCAGACCCCTTTTGGCTAGATTGAGGCAGACATGGAGTGTGTTATTGAAGCACTTCCAAATGAAGTGCTTGAGCTTCCTCTTCACTTTCAGCTTCCAGCTCTTGGATCTGACTTTGTTAATCCAAATGCTCTGAGAGCTAGTCTCTGGAATCTCCAGCTTGCTCTGGCTTGTGATGTTAAGAATAGCCTCAGTTTCCAGTGGAGAGAAACACTTCTCTTATAAGCTCAATGTTCCAACGGCAGTCCACAGGGTTCATGAGTTGATTGACAGTGGTAAGGTTGAGTGGACTATGAGGATGTCTCTTGGGTTTCAGGTTTATAGGATTATTATGATTATTATTTCACAACTTCCCATTGTTCATGTTGGCCAAAATTCCATTCTACTCAGGTTTACACTGTACTTCAACAGTAATCGTTGTCTCACCCAAATCACTCACAAAGAAATTAGAACACAAAATACTAGCTATTTTATATAATCAGATATCTTTATAATATACTAATTAAACCTTCCAGAATGAGCTAAATAAACGTTATACTAAGTGCACAACAACAAATAACGAAGGTACCTTAAACTAAATCAATGCTTCAAAAGGATGATGACATTGATAAGATCGAATGGACATGAAAAAGGAACAAGAGGTGAAGTCCTCAAGACAAAGTACATTAGTCAGAAGCAAGAATGCAACAAAAGACCAAATATCTCTTCTTCAACAGACATCACAAAGACACACCCGCAAAGCAAAAGCACGCAGGCCGTTAACCAGGTTCAACAAATTTTACCTCTCTTTTGCAACTGAGTGTCATCTTGTCCAGATAATTCTCACCAATCTCACTCATATACTGGCCAACATAATCCTTGAAGAACTCTTTGTCTGTCTTTTCATAAATTGATCCGAGAGAAGGCCACTTGTTGATCAGGCCCTTGCTTTCCAAAATCCCAAGAATCTCAAACCGTGGCTTGCACCGCCTCTCAATGCTGTGCATGAGCACTGTCGGATATTTAGCAATTGACGAGGCATCATATTTACCAGTCCCCAACAGAAGTTTTTTTACCAACCTCATCTTATCCTCAGACACAGAAAAAACATTGGGATTTTTCCTCAAAACCCTAACTATGTCATCCTGAGAGAATTCAAGAATTTCCCGAAAAGCCTGCAGCTTGCGTTCCCAAGCCCCACCAGGCATCGAGCAGACTATTCCAACAGCATAGACGTACATTTTCGAACTCCAAACGACTTCCGTTTTGTCCATGTTTTCCAAGCATCTGCTTAGAGTTTCGGGTTTGTATAGCACAACCCGTGGCAAATAATTGATGAGCCTGCCGAGTTGGTCCTTGGACATGCCACGGCTCATCAGGGTCTGGACATTAGGCAAAGTGATATTTTCAAGATCCCCCATAAGCAGCCACCCGGATTGCTTCAAAGCTCGGGTCACCTTCTCAGTCGAACCCAACAGGTCCTTTAGCCAGGACAATGCTGGGACAAGCTTCTTTTTCAGGCTGACGTGCAGGATCATTGGCTCTCTCGAGATTATGACAGCAATGTCGTCAGATGGTAGGCCAAAGTCCTGGAAAATCTTGATCTTGGGCTTGATAGTTTTCTCGACATCGGCCTTGAGCAGCTGGGGCCGGATTAACAAGGTTCTCTCCAGCTGGGCTTTTGTGAACCCGATCTCCTCGAAAAAGGAGAGCACGGAATCGTATTTTCCGGGGTGATTCAAAGGGGATAAAATGGAGGCGGCGCGTGAAGCCACCGCAGGGGAAAACTGGTGTTTGTTCGTCAAGAACTCGTAAACTGAAGGTGGGGTAGAGGGTTTGGTCTCGATAGCCGTCGAGAAACATGCGATGTGGAGAGATAAACTGCCATTAGAAATCTTTGGGGATAACAAATTCTCCGAGAAGAAAGAGGTGAGATTTCTGCGCAGAAGAGCGTGTAGCGCCATCCGAAATTAATTGAACCGACTAAGCGATAGCATTCGATTAGACGAGGAAGTTGCTCGCCTTGGCAAATGACTTAGCGTCGTCGTCAGAGGTGAATCGCAGGCTTCATGCTCGGGAATTAAAGCAGAACAGCGCTTGTGGAAGCGTCTAGGGTTTAGGGTTCTTCAAGCTTTTCTTTCACCGGGCAGAACCGATCTCCCCTTACCCGAGTTAGTTCAGGTTCATAGAATAATAATGTTGTGAACCGCCGGTCTCGGTTTTGGGACGGCCCTACACTGGCTTGAAGGCCCGCTAGTATTTTTAATACTACATCCTATTTTTAATATACGTCGTTTTGAGAAGTTGGACATTAATTAAGAATACTTTTTTGTCAATAATAATCTTATTTAATGAAGATAGAGATGAATGTTTTCAGAAAAGATAAAGAGTGAATATGAAAAGACGTGATGTATTTATTAGCAAAATGAGAATAATAATGAAAAACATGTAAAAAAAATTCAAAACGACATTTATTTGGTTAATAGTTGTTAAAGTTAAAATGACATTTAAAAAAAAAAATAAGAGGGAATATTTTTTTTTCAATTTTTGATTTCCAGTCGGGCTGGGTTGGGTCGGGTATAAGACCCGGCATAAAATTAAATCTGAACCCTTTATTTTTACTCTTGGAATTTATATTTTTGCTTTTTTGTAACCGGTTCAGAATTAAAATCGGACCTCGAATTTTTAACAGTCAGATTTTTTAAATTGGTAGTTGATATCCAACTATCCAACTATTAGAATTAATTTGAAGCCGACCCAGAGTAGGTTGTTAATTATTAAGAAAACAAATGAAAAACCCCAAAAAA